AATTTCTGATAGAGTTGTCTGTCATTTTTGTCTATTTCTGTGACTGTCATGCATTCCTAACCAGCAAGTATTAGGCTGTGGCTATTCGGGGTGTTCTCGGTGGAAGAAGGAGGTACCTGGGTACCTAGAGAAGAAAAGATGATGTCTGAAAAACCAGGAAGGAAAGATGACATGGGAAAGGGCAGATTTGTTAAGGTTTTATTTACAGACTCAAAGCCAGTGTAACCTACACAAGAAAGAAACTGATTAATGTGTTAAGATGTCCTCTGAGCTTTCCTTTTCTTGGTTGTGGCCATTTGGCTTTTTCAGCGACCTCCAATGCCTGGCTTTCTTCTGCGTATGTACAGAAGTAATACTAAAAGTATTTAACAACTGCTAAGGCAGGACATTTAACCAATGAGAAACAAACCTTGTCCAAGAAAATTGCAATAGTCTAAACAAGGCTCAAGAATTGGGAGGCTACCTGGAGTGAGGGAAATAAAACAGAGAAATGCATTTTAAAACCTTGGAGGGTTTGCTTGCTTTATTTATCCAGTAAAACCATTCTAGGTTTAAAGCCTTTTTTCTTGGTTTTAACCTTGCGCGCATTTCAAATGATACTGATAAGGAAATCTTTCCCACAAAACAGTGAATTGCCTCTTCGTTTCTCTAAAACCGTATCTGAAGTCCTAGAGAATGATTAATATACCAAGTGTATGAGAAATGCAAGACTTCTACATCAAAACAGACAAACAGAGGAAGCATAGGCAGGCCACAAGAACAAAGATACAGAAAGATAGGCAAAGGCGCTTCTTTTCCCCCACAGCAAAGACATACAGTCCTGTAAAAACACGTGCCAGTGCCGTAGGAGGAAAGCTTGTGTTCTCCTTGATCCCTTTCCGTTTTATTTTCCCGTTGAAGCTGGAACTTAATCAGTTTGGCTAGAGGGGCCTGGGCCAGAAGCCGCAGGGCAACTCCTGCCTCTGCCTCCCCAGTGGTAGGGTCAGAGCCTCCCCCCACCCCTGGCTTTTAATGTGGACGCTGGGAATCCAAACTCAGGACCTACCTATGCTCACACAGCAAGTGCTTTACCGACGAAAACACCTCTGCAGCCCCTGAGTTCTGAAGGATGCGGAACAGAGAGAAGCAGCAACGGATACTACCATGTGCTGCAGCTGACAAACCAGGGCACATGCACTCCAATGGCGAGAGCGCCCAAGGCAGGGCCAGACCCTAGGAGAGACCCGCAGCAGAGAGTGGTTGTGTGGAAGGGAGACAGAGATGAGAGGGTCGGTGAAGCAGAGAGAAGGGGAGCAGAGGAAAGAGAGTCAGGACAGATACTGGACTCTGTGACCAGGGTCGGCAAAGCCCTGGCGGCAGCAGGAAGGTCTGGCTGCAGAGTTGCCGACAGTGTAGTTAAGGAAAGCTTAAGAGAGGTTAGAGCAGGGCTCTGTTAGAGGCAGTACAGTGAGAACATACATCCCCACATGACCCACGGTGTGTCCTTGGCCTGGTCTTCCTGGTAGCTGGTAGGTGGGTGGGTGGGGGCCACACAGCTCATTCTTGGACTACAGGAGGAACGGCGATGGTGCTTTACCCCTGTGCAGTAGTGAGTTTTATATATGCCATGATGGCCTGGCTATCGGAAGGAGCTACCGATGCCCAGGGTACAATGTGTAGGGTCTACCAACGTCCAGGGGACAGGACGGACAGACAGACTGTTGTGTTAAGATACTGAGATGTGGCGGGGCCTGACTCTTATAGTAGGCAGGGCTGTTTGTTCTTGAGTGCTGTCGTAATTAACTGCCTGGCTTGGGGCCGTCTGTCATTTCACCTGTCAGTGAGACTAACAATGGCACCTATCTCACAGGGATACCGGCAGATTACCTGGCCAAGTGTCCCGTGTTAGGCACAAAGTATTCAGGATGTGTTATCTACCAGGTGAGCAGCCTCAGGACCAGGTGAATTCGATGACAGGGCTGATCTAAAAAGATACTATGGGACATAGGAACAGAAGTGATGTGGGCATATGAAGAAAGCGCGTGAGCATGTAGACTCATCCGTGAGCAGAGATTTTGGTGATCTTGGAGTGCAAACCCTGGGACTACTTGCTACTGGGATAGAGAGAAGCCCATGGGAGCTGGTGAAGGGCTGGTGGTGAAGGGGGCTGTCATAAAGAAAAGCAACAAATGTCGCATCTGGCAGCAGAACTTGGTAACGCTATGCTCCTGCCTCTTCACTTCTTTTTCTTAAAAAAAGAAGATTGTTTTCATTTTGCAAGTATAAAAGACGTTTTTTTTTTTTTTTTTTTTTTTTTTTTTTTTTTTTTTTTTTTGGTTTTTCGAGACAGGGTTTCTCTGTGTAGCTTTGCGCCTTTCCTGGAACTCACTTGGTAGTCCAGGCTGGCCTCGAACTCACAGAGATCCGCCTGGCTCTGCCTCCCGAGTGCTGGGATTAAAGGCGTGCGCCACCACCGCCCGGCATAAAAGACGTTTTGAGACCCCTTTGAGTGCCATAATTGTAGGCATTTTTAAAAATGAAATCAAATAGTTTATTCTATTGTCTTAAGTTACTCCTTGTCTGCAGTAGCTACAAAATAGGAGGGGTTAAGGGTTACAATCGGGTTGTTCTCGGGCATCAACCTGATTTTGTAAGTACTTTTCATTGACCTGAGAAAATACTTTTTAAATGAAGAGAGGGGAAGTGGGAGGGAACTCAGGTCCCACCCACGCTGTGGCTGCGATGATTACTTGATTCCGTCCAATTCTTCCAACACATGTTTACAGAGTCCCTATATATGCTTCAGATAGAGATAAAAACGCTGCTGTCCCCAGGACCACAACAGCTCAGGGGAGCATTGAGGGAGAGCTGGGCAATTCCAAAGTCCTCTGAATCCTCGACAGTCATGCCTAGGTTATCTCATGTTCCCCCACGCTATGGCTAAGTGGTGACATTTACAGGGACCCTCTGGCTTTATATCATTTGGTTATTCTAAAAAGCCAGGAGTCTGGGTATTATCAGTGTACTTTTGCCCAACTCGGCCAGGTATATCAGAAGTTACTAGGATCCCTGCCTATCCACAGCTCAGTGTTGACTGTTACTTCAAGTTCCTTTCCGGACAGCCTAGCCATCACAGCTCTGCCAAGGTAACCCGGGCATCTTTTCTGCTGGCCCATCGGAACCCAGGCTGCATCTCTCCCATGCAGTCATCTCCAGCTCAAAATGATTAAACCTGGACCAGCTATTTTTATTTAGTCCTCTAAAAATAGCTATCAGTCAGTCTTGGCTGGAAGTCACCCCTCCCACCCCCCCACCCCCACCCCCGCGCTCTTCAAGTGTGCACACCAGAACGCCAGAAGACTTTTGCCCTGACATTGCCTTCCCAGTCATTGGCATTTGGGGGTACAGCTGGATCCATCCAGACTGTGTGGTGTTTTCAGACGGAGTCTTTTAGGGAGCTCTAAAGGTGCATTCACTGTGGAAGTCTCAACCTAGAACACACGTGCCCAAAGACTTCTAGGCTGCAGGCAAAACCCTTGAGGACCCTAAAGCGAAGACGACCACCAGGTCTGCTCCAGGGTCGGTATTCGGCAAGAGTGGGCGAACTGAGAGGTGAAGAGGTAGCAGTTAGGAGTTGGGGTGAGCACCCAGTCCCTAACTGGCTTCTCCAGGCGGGAAGGGTGTGGACCTGGATCGAGGACCCTCCAACAGTGTCTGAATGAAGACCTAACCTCCTATTTCCAGCCCGCCCTCCGGTGTGACCACTTTTGATCCCGCCCCAGACAAAGCCAATCCAACTCCGGCAGGATGAATAAGGGGATCAGGTTGCTCTCTCGGCTTCCCCCACCCCCTCACCGCGGCTCCCCTTCCCCACGTGACTCTCTGGAATCTTTGCCAAAGCTCGGAGTCTCTGAGTCCATTTTCACACCCAGCAAAGGAGGGAGGAAGGAGGCGAGAGAGGCGGAGGAAGGCGGAGCGTGTGTGCTTCAGATGCTGGGATCCACTCGGGGACTTATCTTGTGCATTTCCAGGCCCCTCATCTGAGGAGCATTGAGTTCGGGGTCTTTTCCAGCCTCTCTGTTTCCTCGGTGCATCTACAATTATGGCTCCGCCTCCACTTGGGTAATCGCACCTCCACCCTGCAGCGCAGCTCGGGGCTGCACGGTGCGGAGGTGGGCGTCGGTGTGGAGCAAGCCGCGCCCCTCCGCACTCCTCCTCCCGGCGAGGGGCGGGGGAGAGAAAGTGGCAGCAGCGCCCCCCACGCCTTCGGTGTGGAGCTCTGGCCTGCAGCAGCCGGGCGGCGCGGTGCGGCTGCAGCGCCCGGGAGTCCCAGAGCTCCCGCAGGGCCGCACAAAGTTTGCAGCCAGCAGCCCTGCGCGGCGGGGCTCCCTGAGCGCTGCAGTGGGCCGGCCCGGCGCGTTCGCGGCGACCCCCTCGGCCGACCGCACGCCGACAGACGGGGGGCGTGCCGAGAGAACTTTGAAAAGCTGCTGAGGAGGAACCTGCGCCTGCACCTCGCCAGTCGGGGACCTCGGGAGGAGCTGGTCTAGCCCGAGGGAACGCTGCGAGATCCCAGCAGCCGCTGACCCGCAACTTTCCAGCGAGACTTGGCGGCGGGCTGAGCTTTGCCTGGTTCTCGCAGGCTCGGCTCACGGCGGTGGCGGTGGCTGATCGGCTGGCTGGAGAGCCGGGTGAGCCTCGGGGCTGAGGGTTGCCCTCGGCGGCGGCGGCGGCGGCGGCGGCGGCGGCGGCGGCATCCTTCTCGGGTCCATCCCGCCAAGCTCGGCTCCGGGCGGAGGAGCAGCCCGCCGCGTTTCCCCACGGTCTGCGCCCGCGTCCCGGCTCCCGGCGCCGGCGCAGCCTGGGCTTTGGCCGAGAGCAGGTTCTTGGATGCTGAAGGCTGGGCTCCTCCTGCGAGAGTGCCGCGGCGGCGATGAGTGTCCTCAAAGCGTGGCTCGGGGTGGCCCTAGCGCTGGCGGAATTTGCAGTATTGCCTCATTGCGAAGGTAAGGTAAAAAGCGCGGTGCCGAGTGTGTGTGTGTGTGTGTGTGTGTGTGTGTGTGTGTGTGTGTGTGTGTGTGTGTGTGTGTGTGTGTGTGTGTTCCTTCGTGCCGTTTAAAACACTCAGCGGGGTTTTTGAGTGTTGTGGGTTGGGTGGAAGTTTCTGATTTGGGGCGAGGGGCGGACATGGAGTGGGTTTTCCTCTCTCCTGAAATCCCCACTCCTGGTTTCTCTTGAGGTAAAAAAAATCACAGTCCGCCACGGCCTCCTCTCTGCTTTTTGGGGGTGGATGGGTGGCCTTTTGAGGTGACATTTCTGGAAGTGGATCTTCCTTCCACTTCTACCCTAACCCCTGAAGGAAAAGCAACTACGTGGAGCCTGTAGATGAGGAGCGAGCAGTTGATCTCACTCCTGTGAAACATAAAATCCTCACCCCAGCTCCATCGGTCTTACTGTCCTCCCGCGCCCCAAATGAGTCTCCCCACTTAAGATTTTATAAGTAGTGGGTTAGAGTGTTTTGGATGTAGATTATTCAGTTGCCCTGAAATAAATCTTCCTCGGTACCGAAAACACGAGGCTGCCTGCTTGCTTCTCTAGGGAAAAAAAAAGTGGTTAATAGGAGTGTGGGCTCTTCTCTTCTCCCCGGGTTCTCATGGGGGGGGGTGTCCAACCCACTTCCCCAAGAGCTGGGGGAGAGAAAGGAGACTTGGGTGTTGTCACCAGGATAGCACACGCAATCTGGGCTCAGATAATAAATCAGTAAGAGTTGGGGCGGGGGGGGGGGGGGCTGACATGCTGAGCCTGGCGTGGCGCCGCTCCCCTCCACCCCCAGCCCCCCCTGGCGCGCCTCTCACCTGCTCAGAGCCGCGGGGACAGTGTCAGGGTTAGCACTCAGGCAGGGGGAAGGGAGTGGCGGGCTGGGAGGGGGGCGACTTCATCCACGGCTGGGCCGGCTCTCCCTTTCCTCTCCCGGCTCCATTCATTATTCATCCAGCTGCAGGAAGAGTTCACCTGCCCAGCTGCAAATCCTGTAGGCGGGGTTGTGCCCGCGTCGCCTTCCCCGCACCGTCGGCGCGGAATTGGGGGCGGCTGGAGGTCGCAGGAGGACGAAAACCTCAGGTGGGCTTCCAGTCTCCAGAGCGGTGGCGCCTCTCTTCCTTCCCACCTTTCTCTTAGCAACCGGGCTGGCCTCGGGAACCCACGCTCAGACTTTCCCCACAGGTTAAGGCGCCACCTTCTCACATGGTCGTGGAAAGGATGTCAAAAGGATACTATTCCCTGGAAAAGCACGCCAGGGGGCTGTGCAGCCCTTTTCAAACTGTGGGCAACCTGTTTAAAAAAAAAAAAAAAGAAAAGAATTGTGTGTATACACGTGTGCAGACTTATAAAAAAAAAACTTGGAAAATTTAATTATAGCAATTAACCAGATAGGAGAGTCAGCCCAGGCTCCTCAAACTTCAACTTAGGACTTAGAAAAATTACAGTTTCACTCGGTGGCAGTTTCTTATTTAAAAATTACATCCCAACGACACAGAAAACATGCTATCACTCCTGGATTGCTCACCAGGGGGCAGTTGGAACAATGCTGTTTCTCAGAAGCAAATCTCTTGAAATGACAAAAGCCATTATTATTAAGAGGCTATGGGGTATGCTCTTTGGAGGGTTGGTAGATACAACTGGCAAAGTTTATGAACTGCCGGGGTGGGGGTGAGTGAGTGTGTGTATGTGTGTGTGTGTGTGTGTGTGTGTGTGTGTGTGTGTGTGTTAATCCTTCAAGGATTCTTGGAGAACTTTGCATCTGATTTCTTTACCCACCTTCAGAACATTCTGCATGAGCTCACACATTCGATCTTAGATTGCAAGATGTCTGAGAGTTCTCAGCCAATCCATGCTTAGCTCAGAATGAATGACCACAGATACCTACTGAACACGTCATTTCCTTGCACTATGCTAAGCATTTTGCACACTTTAGCTCATTTAACTTATTTGTGTGATAATGGTCTCACACTCACAGATCAGCTGTCCTGTGGTAAGACCTTCGCTTTGAGCCAGTCAAAGCTTTCTTTTTCTTTAAAACCAAGAGACTGCCACCAGGTGCCTTTAGTCCCAGCACTCCAGAGGCAGAGGCAGGTGGATCTTCTTGAGTTCCAGGCCAGCATGGGCTAGAAAGCAAGTTCCAGGACAGCCAGGGCTACACAGAGAAACTGTCTTGAAAAAACAAAACCAACCAACCAACCAACCAACCAACCCAAACCAAAAAACAAAACAACCACCCCTCCCCACCAAACCAAACCAAACCAAACCAAACCAAACCAAACCAAACAAAACACCTAAGAGACTGAGATGGACAACATATGGCCCTTAGAGATTTCCTCAAGTGATAATTGTGATACTGACCCAGGGGAAGAGTTTTTAAAACAGGCATCTACGTATGCCTTGCTAGAGGGATCATATAGTCACATTTTGACCTGCCAGCTCATGGAAGAATTTATTTATTTATTTTTCTTAGCCAACAACAGAGAATGCTCATAATACTCCAGTTAATTCTTCCCACAGTGATAGTTGCTATAGTGAATCCTTCCTCACTGGCCTGGGAGCTTAGGGCAGCTCCAGCAATTCCTGTGTCTCCAGCTCCTATTAATGTAGTGTGACCTCAAGAGCTCCAGTCGGAAGAGGGATTACCAAATAACATTCTTCTCAATTAATTTAAATAGATCAGCCTCCATGATTAAGTGACTGGCCTTGAATGAACTAGCTAACCAAATGAGGAAGGTACTCTGTGGTGGGAGCTTTAAATATGTTTTCTAATTATATAAAAATGAGAGAGACCAGGGTTAGGGCTACAGATCGGTGATAGAGCTTTTTGCTCAAGGTTCTGGGTTCAATACCCAACATGACAAGACAACAGAAACAAACAGAAGATTTTGATGAGGTTTTCAGGTTCTAAATTTTTATCTTATGTATCAAGAGAAAGATGAATATATATGTATATATACATACATATATATGTATGTATAAATACACACACACACACACACAAACATATATATATATATATGTTTTTCTAGACAGGGTTTCTCTGTTTGCTGTTTGTCCTGGATCTCACTCTGTAGACCAAGTTGGCCTCAAACTCACAGAGATCTGCCTGGCTCTGCCTCCCGAGTGCTGGGATTAAAGGCGTGCGCCACCACTGCCCAGCAGAAAGATGAGTTTTTATAGCCAAGTTGTTGGCCGTGTTATTGTATATCGCCTTGAGATTGCTAAGCCGATAGACTGTGATTTGAGGGATTAATAACGTCAAGAAGTCACAGAGAAGCTTCAAACACGGCTGCTTCCTGAGTCAGAAAAACCACAACCCCGTTTTCTGGAGATCCGTCTTGACTTGTGCCACATGGGGGAGTTCTGTGAGTTTCAGCAGATAGACAGCTGGTATGGAATTGGGAAACACTCTTGGAGACCTGAACCCTAGAGTACGTCCCCACCCCTGGACTTTAACTAATCCCACAGGCTCCCTACTTCCTCCTGTACCTACTATTAACAGATTGTAAAGGACTGTTTGATAGAGGTTTTGTTTTATTTACAGGTATATCAGCAGATTTGGTTCTGTGTTTGGCCAGAGAGCTCCTTTGATCAGGCATTTAATGCTTAAAACTCAGTATCAGAGAAGGACCGCATTGGCTTCTTCATTGATGCAAACATCTCCCTCCATTTCTGATTCTGCAAACCTTCATCGAGAGCATGACTGTTAGGTGTGGTGGGAGCTGGGAATTCTGGCACCATAGGGAGCAAAGGAGTTTACATATCCCCAAATTTATGATACTGGTAAAATAGCAGTGGGCCTCTGAGAACATGTGGCCCTTCTCGGGTTTCTCAGGACTGAGATTTTACAGGTTCCAGGTGACTGATCCTGACTGCAGCTTTGCAGCTTTTGGTTTTCATCACCACCTGCGAGGAGACATAGGTAGGTGATGTATCATCATAGGTCCTTGTTTCTAATATACTGCATTTCCACTCCCCTGTGGGATTAGATTTTGAGTATCACCTTCCCCGTGGACATCCTGGAATGGGGCCACAGCCATCTATATTCACTGTTACGGACTTGGGTGGCAACCTCACTCAATTTTACTCAGGCACGAGTCGTCATAAAACACTCTCCACCACATGGCTCAGAAGAGGGGAGGGACCACCACACGGCAGAGCTGGAACTCATGCCAAATCTTAGGGTAGCCCAGTAGCAGGTGGCCATTTTTTGTTTTACTGCTCTATTAATTGATCTAAATCCTCAGAGTAATCAGGGCACCAGCCATCCTGTCAGTCAGAAATGGTTCTATTTTAGTTATTCCACCACGTGCCCAGGCATAGCTGTAGATGTATCCAACCTTCTTATTAAATAAGAAACACAGAACCAATGCAAAGAAGAAAGCCAAGAGGTCAGAGCTAAGAGCTAAAACCTTACCCTTCCTCCTGCGGTGGTCCTACCTCTCCGAACCAGAGCTACCCCTGTGTTAAAGTCTTTATATAGAGTTCCTGTTCTGCCTTCTCATTGGTTGTAAACCCAACCACATGACTGCCTCCTCACGACCTGTCTGTATAGGCCTCCAGGTTTTCCATGATTGGTATTGATTAAAGGCATGTGTATCCAATAATGGCTGTATCCCTGAACACACAGAGACTTACCCAGCTCTGCCTACCAAGTGCTGAAATTACAAGCGTACGCCACCACTGCCCTGCTTTCCTATGGCTTGCTAATAGCTCTGACCCCTGGGCAACTTTATTTATTAACATACAAATAACATTTTAATACAAATAAAATATCACCATACATAGCTGAATTATAACACAACATAAAGTGTGAACATTTGAATGCCAACTTGTGGCTGCTTGATCTTAACGAGTCCTCTCTTGGCGATACCCCGTGTGCTGACTAGTTTTATGTCAACTTGAAACAAGCTAGAGTTATCTGAAAGGCGGAAACCTCAGTCGAGAAAATGCTGTAAGATCTGGCAGGCTGTCAGTCATTTTCTTAATTAGCAACCAATAGGGGAGGGCCCAGCCCATTTGTGGGTGGTGCCACACCTGGGCTCACGCCCTGGGTTCAATAAGAAAGCAGGTTGAGCAAGCCGGGAGGAGTAAGCCAGTAAGCAGTTCCCTCCATGGCCTCTGCCTCAGCTGCTGCCTCCAGGTTCCTGCCCTGACTTCCTTCAGTGATGGGCTGTTATCTGGAAATGTAAGCCAGATAAACTCCTTCCTCCCCAAGTTGCTTTGATTATGGTGTTTCATCAGAGCAATAGTCACCCTAACTAGAACATCCTACTGTCCAAATCTCTTATCTTTTTTTTTTTTTTTTTTTTTTGGTTTTTCCACCACCTGACCCAAATCTCTTGTCTTCATGGTTCTATATGCCATGGTTTCTTTGGACCTCTGTGTCTGTGTTGTGTGGTAGACCTTTCCTGGAATACACAACACACACATCTATAGCTACTTAGTCCAAATAGTGAGGCCATGACAGACCAAAGGAGGACACCACCGAAGTGCAAGTTGGTAGACCGGTGACTTTTTTTTGGGTTACTTACCTGACTGTAGGTGAGGGGTTACTTAACAGAGCGGAAGCGACTCAAAGGCAGCTGCATCACCGAGCCCACCCCAGGATGGGTGACAGCTCACCAAGCTGGGAACCTGGTGCACGCTACACAGCCTGCAAACGGCTTAAGAGGTCGCAAAGTGTCCTTTCCTGGTGGTTCAGTTGAGTCCTCTGTAGGCAGTTCAGTTGGTCTCTGTGTCTTCTAGGTAGCATGCCTCTGAGTCCTCTGTAGGCAGTTCAGTTGGTCTTTGTGTCTTCTAGGTAGCATGCCTCTGCTTCTTCCGGGCTCATTGGCAGGTCTCTGCTTCTCCTTTATAATTTGGCTTCTCTGGGAATGACTCTCAGCAGTCTTTACTCTTGAGACACTTGTGGGGAGAAGGGGACCTAGTGAATCTGGTCAGCTTCAGGGACTTCCTGAAGCTATTCTGAGTTTACTTCCTGTCTTTAGGAGTATCTCTTGCATTATTTTATTTCCGCTTAGAACATCCTGATGTTTCACCTTCCTGTAAACATCCTATCTAAGAGTTTCCCTGGAAGATGCAAAGTTTTCATCAGGAGGAAACTGGTACCCAAAGTCTGACATTGTGTGCATGTTGGATTTACCTAATTGACTCAGTTGCCAGCCACTATTTTTGTGGCTAATATAGCTTTGGGATGGAAGCATGTTACCAGTTATATCTCAAAATCTCTCTAAAAATATTAAACTTTGTATTGGTGCCTCATAAAGGATTATTATATTAAATTATTA